ACCCAATACTCCACCGCAAACCACCACCCACAGCAACCACCCACCACAGCAGCATTGGGGTTATCGCAGCAGCGGTGCTGCTCAGCAGCACTCTGCTGCGAATCGTAGCAGGGGGGGAATGGGAAGGGAAGGGGAGGTGGCAGATACCGCCGGAAGAGAGAGGGGAGGCGACTGGCGAGAGAGAGAGAGAGAGGGGAAGGAGTGAAAAATTAGGGTTTGAGTTTTTATATATCACTTGATTTTTGAAAAATTAAATTTGGTCCCTGATTTTTGAATTTGAAATTTTAAACACCTGAGTTTTTATAATTTCCCAAAAATAAAAATAAAAAAATTAACAACATTCCCCATACCCAAAGTTCAGTGCAGGAGGATGCCTACTCTGGACTTTTAAGGTGGCTCCGTCCCTAATTAGTAGAAACTCGAAATGCACTCCTCGAAACATAGCCCATTAGCTTCTAATGGGTAAACCCTCTCTTCCCAAGATGTCACGAATCAATCATGTATGATGCAACTTGTATAAAACACTTATCTGTGTATATTGAGAGTTATAAAACACCACATATCGTAAAATTGATCAATCACTAGAATTTTTAATTTATCTTTCGATCATATGCAAAGATTAGAAGTGCTTTTTTGGATTTACTTTAAAATCTACCATTACTTTTAACATAATTAAAAAGTGTAAACCTACACAAATCAATCATAAGACTGTAGTGTCCAAAAATCATCAGAAGAACATTGGCTTGGGGGAGGGGGTGTGACAAAATAGTTGCTACCGAAATTCACAGAAAACACGAAAAAAAAGAAATTAATGTTGTCAAAATAGACCGGTCGACCCGTTCTTGAGATCCCCGGACCACGAGCAAATCTGGGCTTCAATATTTTGACAAAATTACAGAGAAGGGGTCAAAATAGGCAGATTGTTATCAGCAATTGACTTCCTGTGTCACCATCTGATACAAGTTAAAAGGCCAAAATTATAAGTTGAAATTGTCTAAATTTTAAATTTCCTGGAAATAAGACAACAGTGATTGATTCTTGACTTGCTCCCACCAATATTTACTCACCTTACCTAATATGTTGATTTTCAATTAATAGAATATGGTCGGACGACCTAATGCGTGAGTCGTGACGAATGGGTTAGGTTCCATCTATCAAGTAAATGAAGAATCAAACATCTATTTCTGGTTTTAAATATTTCGATCATTTTTTGTTTTTTTTTTTGCGAGCACTAATGTTTGTATTCAAGTTCCTTTTCCTTGACCTTTTTGGCGAACCTTACGCCCAATTTAAGACCTGTTTGATATTAATTATTAAGAAGAGTGATCTAAACCCCTACAAATTGGCCGATGTTTTCATCTTTAATCGATGTGAATTTTTTTTTTTTAAATTACGTCGTTTAAAAAAAAATTATGGGCCGCTAGTAAAATTATTTTATTCAAAAAATATATATGACCAAAAATAAATTTAAAGAAAAATATACCAAAACTTATAGTATGCGACTCTTTGTTCATCAAAAGTAGCAGATATACCCTAGGAAATGCAAACTCTATCATGTAATAGCCGAAAGTAGATTCTTGTTATCACTTATCACTAAGATTTTTAATTTTCTTTCATTTTTTTTGGGCAATCAAGTCCAAGAGTAATTTTCGTTCTTTCCTTTTTTTTTTTTTTCCCAAGTAAGATGTTTAAATTTGATTTGGTAAAATAGAAATTCTTGCAGAAAGATTTGGTAATTTCCCATCCGACTCGTAACATTTCAAACTGAATTCATATTAAACTTTCATAAATAGAAAGAACATTAGAAAATTTTAGGGCCTTCGATACCATCAAATTACAAATGGCACATGAGACACGTTTATCTAGTTCAACATATTAAACATCCCTCGATGCGCACCCGGTTTCGATACAATCTACTCTTTTTTCATCAGACAAAAAAGGGCAGTATCGTCTTTAGGCCCTAAGCACGAAGTCCAAATAACTTGTATGGGAAGAATAAATCCTCCTTAGGGAATAACAAAAGGAATGAGTTCTTTTATCCTTTATCAAAACCTATTTTTAGATCGGACCCCCACTTTTGCTGCATTTTTATTAGCACCAAAACCTTTTTTTTTTTTTGGATAACCGTTGGTGTCCGGACCAGTTTGTGAACACCTCGACTAATCTCTCGAGACCCTAAGATTTACGGCCAGATATTCACCTCAATGGTCCCGAGAGGACTCGGACTGAATTTACACCAAAACATAACAAAATGAATAATGCCCTTATTTATATTTTTTTTCCCTAGTTCTGTATGGTCGGTCCAGTCTTAACACAATAAAGGGCATGTTTGGCTAAAAGCTTAATCTCATAGTATCAACTCTTTTATTTTCAAACAAAAATCTTCTAAGAAAATATGGACCACCTCAAGAAAAGTGTATCGACCATATCGTGTTTATACTATGTTCACACTCTAGCTCCAACTTCCACTCGAATGGGCTCTTTCGCTCTAACCGCCCACGCTTTCCGACAAGGTCTCGCTACTACTGATCCCACATCGGTTCGCGACAAAATCCTCTTGTACCTGTAATCTGACTGCAGTTAGATCCTGACCACCTCCGCTCCCTATAATGCTACTCATTGACTAAAGAATGAATTTTTCGACAACCCTAAATATATAGGCGGCAATGGTACAGGATTTTGATGAAATCGACAAGCAAGTACTTGAAAAAGGTGCAAATCATGTAGGGGAAAACAAAGACTACAGAGAAAGATGCTTTCGTCTTTACGTAGAAAAAGATGAAAGCAAAAAAACAAGAAAATAATAATTGATAGGCTTTAGCCTAGGCTCAAGTTTAGTCAGCAAGTGGTCGGTCCATATACCCATAAAAAGATACGAATAGAAATCACATAGATTTTTCATTTTTCTTTTTTTTTTATAACATTTGATATCCGGACGAGCTTGCGTACACCTCGACTAATCATGCGGGCCTCAAGTTTACGATCGAGTATTCACCTCTTTGATACAAGGGAACTCAGGGCAGGCGACCATTGGATAGCAACTGACCAATTGAGCTAACCCTTGAGGTTAGAAATCACATAGACTATTTCAATAAACTCAGGCAATTCCCACAAAAAGATAATTATGCTCAAAGAAAATGGGCAGCAAAAAATTACTCTGAAATGGAGAAATTAATGAAAGGACATTAACTACCCATAATTTACATTGTATAGTAAAAACAGACAGCAAAAGAGCAATGCTACAAAAACTAAAATTCTTTGGATTTTATAACCAAAAGAGGATTAAACCAACCTTTTCAAGTCCAAACGCCCCAAATCTTCTCTCCAAGAAAACTCACAAATTTTCTCACTGAACCCTTCTCCAATTCTTCCTCCATCCCATTATCATCCTCCTCCACGCTGCCGCCAGTCTCAGCGCCGCCAGCAATAGTGCTCTCCGAGGCAGAGTTTGACTCGACAAAATCGTTCTTAATCAAACTCAACTCAGGCTTTTTCAACTCCTCGGAGCCTTGACTACTGCCTCTTGCATTTTTACCCTTCCTCCTTTCCCTCTTGCTCTTATCTTTCTTGTTTTGCATCAAAAGACTATCTTCAAAAGCATCTATTACCTCGTGTATCAGTTCACGGTTTGGTGAACAATCCCACTTGGCCCAGTAGTTCATGTAGCACCGGAAGCAGTAGCAGTTGAAAGAAGGTGGGTGGTCAGCATCCACCTTTGCACCAACAGAAGAGGTGGTGCCAGCGGCTGCACTGGCTTTACGATGATTATTTGAAAAGTTAGTAGAAGAAGAGCAAGAGATAAGATATGCCAAAACCTCTTTGTCTTCCGGTGACAGAGCTACCGTTAAAGTCAAGATTGTCGCCGGTAAAAATGACAGCAGCTGGTCTGAAAGCAACGGCGGCGTTGGATGAACTGTGCCTTTCTTGTACAGCTTCTTCATGGCTGATTATACTGTTACTTCCAGAGAGAGAAAGACTTACTTTTAGAGCGAGAGAGAGATAATTCTTATTGGTTACTGACAGAAAGAGCCTGAGACCTGAATTTTAAGGGTTGATGAGGTCTTGATGTTTGGAGAGAGAGAGAGAGAGAGGTATTTTGGGCATTGGGGGACGGTTAGCATGCGACGCAGAGCTTTTTGCTGGCTCATTGGTGAACAGTACAATCAGAAAACGACGCGATCTGATTGGCTAAACGGCATTACATATACTAGAGATGGGCCCTACCACGAATCTGATTCTCATTTGCGTCTTTCATTTTACAAAGTTTGGGCCATGACCCAATTAGTAAAGAATCTATAAAGCCCATCAAGATCCAAATCTCAGCAATGGCATTTAGAAAAAGGTGATACAATGATCAAGTCTCCTCTTTTGTAACAACAACTATGTTTTATAATGCTAATAATCATTATTATCCTGTTCCTCCTAAAAAAGAAAATAATAATAATAATTGACAAATTTTATCCCGTAAACAGATTTTAAGGTACCCCTAGTTATTACAATGGGCCCAAGTGTCCCAGATCTTCATCAATGTCCAAAAGTGGAAGAAAGAAATTGTGAAGTTGATGTGAGAAATCATTGAAAAGAAAAAGAGCACCAAATGGGATCCCTTAACTCATTTTCATGGTCACATCAACGCTACAATGTGGTGCAATAGCAAATTTGGACAAAGGTTTTTGAGTCAATGAACCTTTACTAGCTAATGCGATTGTGACGCGGTAGGCATCATTTAGAAGGGATGCGTGACATGGGTTGTAGTTTTGGTGGCGACCAGAAAATGAGAAGCATTGAATGAAGTTGGATGCGAGAGGGGTATTTTGGTCATCGTGTGTTAAAATTGAGGCCTAACACATACATTAAACGTGCCAGGGGTGTGGTGTGAGTGAAGAATCGGAGAAGATGGACATAATTTAAAGGTTTGACAAAAATGAGGGCATCTATGATCATATCATTAGTGGACAATCCACTGTCATAAAATTTAAATGTTAACATCGGTATGTTATGACACGGTACAATTTAAGGCCCCGTTTAATTGCCACATTTTTCATGAAAAATGTCACATCCCAGAAAAATTAATTTCACTTTGACCGTTTGATTGTAACGTAAAAATGGAAACCCAATTCCAAAGTACAACTACTTTAAGTTGCATTTTCTTTGTTTTCATGGAAAACGAATTCCTATATGTTCGGCGGGCTTTTATTTTCCAATTAACATGAATTGAAATTCCTTTTCACCTTTGTCTATCAAACGGACCTTAAGTGTTTTAAAACATATGAATGATATGCATTTGATGACTGTCGGACCTTTAGGATGAACTCTGAAGATGGGATCTGGTCCATGATTCCAAAGAAAGGAGCTCTTCATGACTTATTGACCGAGACCTGGGTAAGCCTGAGAAGAGAAAATTGAAAACCAGCATTGTTTATAAGCACGTTTGATATGGTAAAAGAACTAATGGATAGCAATCTACTCTTAAATAATGAAATCAAACACAAGGGTGAAGAGTGTTTGAATTAGTACCTTGAATTCAAAGCTTGGACCAGCTTTTTCGAGGAAGGGTGGCCCTGCTTGCCCAGCTTTGAATAGCACGGTTCCGTCAACCATTCCATGAGACCACAATATAGGTGTCTACAAACATATTTCCGAATGTCAGATCCTTGATATGATAAAATAACTTCTAAACAATATAAATGCATCTCAAAATTAATGATGAAGCTAAAGCTGACGAAAAAGACTGTTGACCTAAAGATGAGTAGCAGGCAAAAGGCAGGATTTTCATGTTCAGCGGACAAAACCAACATAAACCACATCATGAGCAGACAAAAATTGAATCTCTCATACATATTCAAAACAAATTTACATATGGTGTGAATCGATTCCATCCTCATAATCTAATAATTTTGAATCTTGAAAGCTGGAACCAATATAGATTCTATCATGCATTTCACACATATCTCCAACAGACATAAAGCCACTGATGCAGGAGACTAGTAGCATCCTTATTTAGAATCTTGGATGCAAACTTTTGAGGAACTTAATAGACCAGAAATCCTCAATGACACTCTCCATCCACGGAACATCAAATTTTCTTCCTACCAATGCATGAAAGGTAAATAATTATTTCCTATTAAGTAATAGCCTATATGGTTACAGTTTCTGGTAAACGAAACAAGGTTGGTTCTATAAGGCATATTCTGAGTTCAAACAAGTTACTAGAGGACTATCCAAATTACAATATCCATATATAGAACCAGAATGCCATCGTACTAGTATAAATAGAGAAAACATGCGTCAAACTGTAAAATCAAACAGGCTGCTACAGTTCATGGGAAGAAGAAATACGGAAGACACTGAAAAGAAGAAATAACCTTTCTTGCATCAAGTGTAAGAATTAAATGGAACCCAACCACTAAACACTGCACCACCACCGAGAGTTCTTGGATACAGCAGAATACTAGCTAATGTCAAGGCACCTACATAACTTAGTAAAGTTCACAAATATCAGTACAATCAAGAAGGAAACTCATTTCCATTTGCATTAGGGAGTCGGGGGGGGAGGAGGACATTAACACACAGACACACACGGAGAGAGTGGGAGAGACCTCCTTGACTAAATCCACATACAAAGACATTGTTAGGTTTGGTGCCAGCAGCTATCTCTTTGTCTATCATTGCGTGAACATTTTGGACAGCTTCGAGCACACCACCTTCATCTTTTGGAGAATCCTAACACATGCTGATAGTTTACACAACATTTAATCAATCAACAGTAGTACAGGAAATCATTTATAAACAGTGACCACATGCACGATGTAAGGGTATTTGCTAGCTGATAACATCATGAAGATAAGCATTAGAAGTCTCAAGGATAGAACAGAATCAAACAATTAAGTAAATTAAATAGGTATGTGTATATATTTCATTGAATTGGTACACTAGTCTTAAATTCCTCATCAACTTCATTTCGTACAAAAGTATTTTGGCCAAAGTCAATTAGAGTTGCTTTCAAAGAGAAAATAGTACAATTTATCCAGCACCACATCGGATCTATAAAACAACTCAAATAAGAAGATAAAAATCTAATATGATGTATTATTCAAAAATAAACAAATCAAACAAAGCATAACTTACGGCTGTCACAGGTATCTCATGAATGTCAAACCACAAAGGCATGATAGCACCATATATGAGAAAATCCAAATTAGCAAACAACAAAAGTGATGCATGGGATGAACATAAGTTTAATATCAGATAAGTGTAAAACCAATATGAATCCATAAAACAAGGTCTTCCTTAACAGAATTAATTTCCCTAAGATATATCTCTAATCATTTTATCCAGGCAATTGCTAAGCAACTTTTACGCACCAAGCAAAAAAGAAAAGCTAAGTTTTTAGTGCTGCATGTAGCGCACTCGAAACTTTCCATTTAATTATAATGACAATATCGCATTATAGGGGTTCACTAATCTACATAACAATGACGTAAACAATTTAATGTGATAAAATAAGTGAACAGAGGCGTGGCTAAAAAAGTTTCTTTATTTCAAACGTAAGGTTTGACACCCCGGAACTGGGGTTAGACACCTTACAGATTAAGAATAAAACCTTTAGTTTCAAAAGAAGCCAAGAGTGGACACTCGAAGAGGTGCAAGTGTCGACACTTGAGGTGCAGAAACATTTCCATTGTTAAATTGTTGCCAAAGTGCTGACACCTGCCTCCCTAAGTGTCGACGCTTGTGTTAGAAAATCACATATTTTCGTGTGGCAAGTAATTAAGTTCGAAACCATTTAACTGATACAGAGTGCAAGGATATTATTTTAAGGCAGGAACAATGATTTCCAACCCAAAAGCATAATATAGATAAACTGAAAGTTCTTAGTACAAAGAGGGACGGGGTTTTAAAATGTTATGATAAAATCATAATAAAAAACTACCCCTTGCCCACCTTATTTTACAATTGCAAACGGAAAGTACGACACCTAATTCACATACTTTAAACTAAGTAAACAAACTATAGCTCAGCGGGTAAAGTTCCGTATACAATTATTCAAAAGTATGAACATCGTAATGTTCAACATGAATGTGCCAATATAAAATAATGAACCTAATAGCTCCAAGTATCAACTTTAGTTACATGCATATATCACGTTATTTCATAACCAAAATGAGTAATCAACGTCATTTCGTTGCCACCATAATTTGATATAATTCAAATAATTTCTCTAGAATCTAAACATAAATTAAATCCAAAACATAATATAAAAATAACACGAATTTTCAGGTTGTGCATTGTGCCATTCAATAAAATTAATTGAAAAGAAGTAAATGATTGTAATTAGATTGAGACAGAGTAAAATAGTCTTGAATCTCTTTATCTTGATAAGTCATATTGTTTTCAGTCTTATGCATAGCCCTTTCACTGTTCTTCATTATATTCGTTTTGTTTTAAATCCATTGAAAGAAATGTAGTTATTTTCAAACTAGATTTGATCTATATATCAAGCCAATGAAATGAACAACACGAAATTCCTAATAGGCTTGTATCAATCTATTGTTCTTGCGATTCACCAACAAGATTGTATACTAGTACTTGGTACAATCCTAAATATAATTCAAAATGCGAATTTCTAATAACCAGCACTACACAAAACATCACACAAAAAATCTACCTTAAAGCATCAAACTCTGACACTCAACACCTCCTAATAAACAATTATACTATACTTATTCACAAAAACCACACGGACACGCACATTAAAACAAGAGGTATATCAATTATGAACGATAGATACATCTCTGTATGTAAACATAACTTACAATTACAGGTGACTGGATTGGAAGGGGCAGAAGGGAATGAACATTTGGTGTTTCTGAATTCCGGGGAGATAAAAAGGGTCTTAATGGGTTCGTTGGCGGGGCCCGAATCGCCCAGTCCATGGAGCCACAACACAAAGTTTCGGCCCATAGGATCTGGATTTTTCGAAGATGGGTTTGGTTGAGAGATTAGCACGAAAGAGAGAGTTATACCGAAGCTAAGTGCGATCAAACCTATCGGCTTCTCCAACACCGTGGAGGAATTCGTTCTCAATTTTCCATACCGGAGGCCAAAATGCGATCTGCCTTCTAGAAAAAAAAGGCTTGAGATGTGCGATAGTTAATCGACAACTTTTTATTTTTTTTTTGCAACTTGAGTGTGAGAGTGAATCGAAATAAAAAGTTGATAAAAATTTAAATTAAAATCAATAGTTAATTTAAATTACATGTTGACAATTTTTATCAACTTTTCGCTATCATATTTAATCAACTTTTATCAAATTCTACTAAAATTCTGAACTTTATCCGAAAAAAGAGTGCACAATGCAGTTGTGCTAAAAGCCTATGCGGACAAGAAATTTGTGGAGTATCACGTATTTTGCTTCATCAAATCCTCTTCTTCAATGTAGTATAATTCCGTGGAATAATGTTAAACGTAAATTATTTGGTTAGCATTGTTTTTTACATTCTTTATTTTTTGAAAATTATGAACGGGAAAACTGTTTTTGTTTTTAAATTGTCCAATGATAATTTGCTATGTGTCACAATGTAAAGAAAAATATAAAAGATGATGTACATATAACATGATTGAATTTCGCAACGACACCATGTGCTGTTGCTCCATTGAAAATAGAGTACCTTAATCGTATGTTATTTTTAGTTTTCGTTTGACATGGCTTTTGAGAAGCGAAAAAGGGCTTTTGAGACTCGAAAGCTTGCTTTTGAACCTCAATTGGTTAATTTTATGAAAGTGTTTTTAGTGGAAGCCGATACAACATGACTTTCTTTAAAAGCACTTTCAAAATAGGAAGTTCTATTAAAAATTAATTATAAAACAAAAATTAATGTTGCTTCCTCCAAAAGTTCTTGTATATGATGCAAAAGTAAAAGAAGAAATCGTGCCAAATGGGTCCTCGTGTAATCGTGTTTTCCCACTATTTCTCTGTAATACCATATATTCATTTAATCCATAACATATAAACCTTTGTCTTTACGCCTATAAATACCAACCCCTATATCAATAGAGTATGCCATCAAAAGAAAAGGAAGCAAAACAAAAAAGTGGGAAAAAAAAACGAAAGGTTATGGCGAAAATTATAAGCATCCTCATTCGAACCAAGTTAATATGCTCTCTCTCGGTTGAAGCAGCAGGTGCAAGATTTACAACTGTCAATGTCATGTCATAGGCATAGCAGAAGGATGAAGAAATTCCATTGAAGAATATAGCCTAGCCATCAAGCACTCCTACAATACCAGCAAATCCTTACACGAGGCTGCAGTCCACAAGGAATTCTATTTCCAGCAAGGGAATAATTGAGGAAAACATTAGAGAGGGGGAGAAAGCAAAAACAAGTCGAAGAGACTATTGGAACATCAAAACTTAAGCGAAGTGAGGGGTGGTTGTACAAACAATGCATTCGTGCCTTTGAAAAATATTTCGATCAGTGAGTGAGTGCATCTTTTCAACAAATTATCAGGAAGAAAAACTAGTTTCAATTACGAATATTTCCTGAGTACAAAAATGTAAGGAATTACGACATCCAATATTAATCTTGAAATTACGAAAATAAGAAAAACTGTGCACCAAGTTCGAGATTTCAGTCCACAATATCCAATATGAAAATTTTGAACTACAATCTGGAAATCTGATTCTATCATTAGAAAAAAAAATATGGTACCTTACAGAAAAAATGGTATAGAATGCAATCGCCTCAATGGGGGGGGGGGTTCAATGAAGCTAAACTTCGAGGCATAACAGCGTCGAATTTAACTTTTAAGTAACCTGCTCAATGAAAAGCCAAAGAAAAAATATAGTTTCTTTTAGATTGCTATCCGGAGTTGCTAGAATTCACTCTTTTCAATCGATCGTCTTTAATTTTTCTCAGCCTTTTGAGTTGGATTCACTTTCTGTCACGAGCCTTCTAGCCCAGACTTAAGTCCAGTGTGCTTTCATTCAGATCTTGCCGTTCAACAGGATTATTCTCAAGGTCCTGATATAAGAGGGCAATTGAAGAGTTCAAATACAACTTACATCCAAACTACTACAGCTGCTTATCAACAGATTTAGAGAAAAATATTGAAGACGGAGAGATCAATGATGTCAACATCCAGAAAAGAAGCTTGAAATGAAAACAATAGACACAAAGGGCATTCATCCACACGGATGCCATTCTCCTCTGAACTAATATTATTTGAATATTTTCACTTAGAAGAACAATGGCGCCCTTGGTAAAGGAAGACCTATTAAGTAACCGAAAAGCCTTAAACAAAAACATTACACAAAAGAAAAGATGCAAGTTAAATCACCTCATTTTCATCCATGGGCACATCATTGATGTCAGGCTTTTCATCACAGCCATCAGTCTTGGGGGTTCCATCAACTGTATTTTTGTCTGTCTCGGTTGATTTATCTTCATCCTCTACCTCTTCTGAGGACTCGTTCTTTTGTTCTACCAGCAAGGCAATCTATTCAATCGTTCCAGAAACAGATATGTTAGCCAGTTAGTTGAATTGTGCTGATTTTTTATTATTCCAAGTAAACACTGGAGTATGATAAAAGTAAAAATGGTTGAGATACATAAGCATTTGTCAAACTGATCATTCTTAAAAGTTTCAGTTTTCACAGTAAAAACATCAAATCAAGTAAAAGAAAATTGCAATTCCTTCGAACTCATAAAATTCAATCCAAGTGCATGACCGATCATATTGTTTTCCAACAGCTAAAACATATATGCCTTAAAGTTGTTAAAATTTAAGGGGGACAGGTGTCGTCGTGTCGATGGGGAGAGGAATGCATATACAAAATACTCCTCCCAGATTCAATCCCATTCTTTACTTCTCACTACGTGTCAACAATACAACATTGAAATCAATAAAATGCAACTCAAAAATTACTCATGATGACCAGACACGCTAATGACCAATATATGGAAATCACATTGAATTTAAACAAAATAAGGTTTGACTGAGGCATCTAAATAGTAGCTATGCAACTAAACACAGTTGTGTTGTAAGTACATTAGATCAAGCGCAATCAGCCAAGAAAGCAGTATCATATTGTGCACGCACACAAAGATCTAAGATCTTTTTAACATATTAAAAGGAAAAAGAACAAGGGATGGATTTCCATACACACAGAGCTCTATGACCTTATACATACTGGAAGGCAATGAACCAACAATGGGTTTTCCTATAACTTCTATAATTAGCATAGCCCATGATGCAGCCCTTGCATGTTAATCAGAAAAGTAGAACAATTTAATGAATTCCAAACTAAAGATTCTTAGCTGAACATCACCGCAATGCCATATTCAAAACTAGGTGAGGAGAATAGGAAGAGTGGAGAGTCTGGAGACATTGTGAAACTGAGCACAACATTTTGGAAAATTAATAATTCTGTCCTGCAAACAATTTCCTCTAAATCCAAGCACGAGATTGTCTGATGAAACTCCCACAAAACCATTGATACAGATATTAGCATAGCCCCATGATGCAGCCCTTGCATGTTAATCAGAAAAGTAGAACAATTTAACGAATTACAAACTACAGCTAAGAACACCACCACAATGCCATATTCAAAACTAGGTGAGGAGAATAGGAAGAGTGGAGAGTCTGGAGACGTGGTAAAAAATGAGCACAATATTTTGGAAAATTAATAATTCTGTCCTGCAAACAATATTCTATAATTTCAAGCAAGAGATTCTCAGATGAAACTCCCACAAGACCATTTATACGGATATTAGCTTAGCCCCATGATGCAGCCCTTGCATGTTAATCAGAAAAATAGAGCAATTTAATGAATTACAAACTACAGATTCTTAGCTGAACACCACCAGAATGCCATATTCGAAACTAGGTGAGGAGAATAGGAGAAGTAGAATTTGGAGACGTGATAAAAAATGAGTCCAACATTTCGGAAAATTAATAATTCTGTCCTGCAAACAATGTTCTCTAATTTCAAGCACGGGATTTTCCAATGAAACTCCCACAAAACCAATTATACGGATATTTTACCACATAAATCTAGCCTCGCAGCTACTCGTTGATGTTGCTCTATAAGTGCAATTCATCCTCGTTCTCTTTTGCCATTAAGATCACCACATTGAAAAGGAAAGAAGTGAAATATACACCCTATCCTGGGAATCTAGAAACACCAATCACTCCCTTCTGGAAAAATTAAAATTTAAATCAGGCTCTCTAGAAAATCAGCTCACCACATTTAAATCAAACAGATATCCGAATTCCTCCCCCAAAGACCCTGGAACCAAACGTTCCAAACAATCAAGTCAAAGATTTTCAAATTTCTTTCAATTCCTATATGAAAGTAAAATCCCAAAACACCGTTCACTTTTTATGTAGTTCAAGAACCCTAAACCACAATTCACCGTAAATCCACACCTAACAGATCGATTACAGACATATAATATACAACCGAAAATGCAAAATCAAGTTAACTGAGACCATAAGAAGTGAAACGACATATAATTACCGGAATATACTTGAATTTACGCTTGGGCGGCACCTCTACAGCGACGGAGTCATCTGTATTGGAATTCTTGGAGTCATCATTGCCGTTAATATTATCATTGATGTTAGTGTCATTATTGTCTTTCTTTTGGATTGGAGTCCACTTGTAGAGCAAGAGGTGGGAGGAGCCATTAACGATGCCGTTTGTTGCCGTTTGGTTGGAATTGGAGGGCGGCACATTGACCCATTTCTTCTTCCACTTACGGACTGGCCCCGTGAAGACGGTGGCACTGGCGGGGCCGTACCTAGATGAGGACCTTCCGAACCTAGCCCCTACTCCCTCCATTCTTCAATATATAGCCTGATGTGGCTGATTGCAGTTGCGGGAGCGAATCTACGGCAACTCAGCACGGCAATTCTTCCGATTGGTTTTTGGTGCTGTGGAGGAATATCTGATGGGCAAATATCGGTTTTCTCTGGAAAGAATTTTTACGTTCTGTTTACATTGGGGTTAACGAAGATACATAAAATTAAAGCAACAAGATTGACGGGCTTCCAGCCGTCGATTCTGACTCTTCCGTGATTGGATGGTCGAAATTTCTTTTTCTTTTTGTTTAGAAAAATATATTTTTAAAAAATTCAGAAATCTCACTTATCCCCTGTTTGGTTGGAATAAAAATTAAATTTAGTGGATTTTAATAAAATGAGTGAAAATATGGTACTGACATATTGATGAAGTTCTGATTTCATGAAATATGTGAAGAAAAATGAATTTTAAAAAATTATGACTAAATAAAATACTATATATATAGCAGCATCGAAGTAACAAATGAAGAATTGACTTCATTATTATGAGTGTGTTTGATGGATATTATTTTGAAAAAAATGTATTTTGGAATCGTAGATTGATGGAGATTGTGTGGTTGAAAAAGAAAGAAAATTTATTGATTTGATAGAAAATATTATTTTATTGAAAAATGTGTAGTTGAAAATGAGTAGAAGAATAAGAATGAAATTTTTAATGTGTGTCAAACAGAGCTTATAAATCAAGTTATTGAATATTTCAAATAAATTCCTAAATTTGAAACTATGTATTATCCAATAAATAAAAACCTAAAATTCCTAATAATAAACCAAAATCCCCTACACGATTAGTTTCAAATGCTTTTTGACAAGCACTTGCCGCAAGAGGTCGTGAACCAAAACCCTATTAATAGACAGGAACACATTCCAACCAATTTTCAAAAAAATAATCTTGTATATAATTTTGTATCAAATTGGAACTAGTAACTAATCCTAACATAGAAGTACTGAAAAAACTCATATAAGCAAAATCTCAAGTATTCTTGATCATAAGCCATATAATTATCATAATAAATAAGAACCATAATTTCAACAGTAGTGGTTAACATTGACATAATAGAAGTTAATCGATCAAGAAGTCGAATTCTAAAGAAAAAATTAATGTAATGCTACTTGTACATAAGGGTTCGTTTGATTGGTTTAAATTCTATGAAAAATGTCACATTCAAGAAATTCAATTTTTACTTTTGACTATTTGATACTAAAGTGAAAATGGAGTGCGAATTTTAAAGTATAACCACTTCAAGTTTGTTTTTTGGCAATTTTATGGAAAATGCATTCCTGTGGAATACTTGAATTTTTATTTTCTAACTTACATGAAATTGGAAAGTCTTTCCACATTTATCAATCAAACGAACCCAAATTGTTTATTGATTAATGTACAGATTGATGATGTGAAACTGAAAGATAGAGAAAGAGAAAAGTGAAACAAAGTGAAGTCAATTAATCTTATCCATTTATCAATCTGTAAAGTATCTATAAACAATCATGTAAAAGTAACATTACTGTAAAATTTAATTGTACAAAATTTATTATAATGAGCAATCTAACAATTACATTTTTATTTCTCACAAATCTAGTCAAGAAGACTAATCTACGATCTCATATCATCTTAGAATCATGCTTGTTGTACAACCTTGTTCAAAGAGTGTCACGTGGCTTATGTCGTTGGACAATTTTAACAAAAAGTTATTTTTGTAACTAACAATTTTTTGCCAACACACCACATTGTCAACAAAATTGTCGTGGATGATTATACAATATCAAAATCCATCATTTTATCAAGACTAATGTTACTTGTACAATCCTGGTTGACAATTCCACACTTGGCAGTATCACATTCATCTATTTTAAAAATTGATAAAAACTTTTTTTAAATCAAATGTCCGAATTTTGACAACACTAGAGTTGTCAACAAAGATTGTACAAATAATTTAATTATTTTATCAATATCTTACATAATCAAGTACATTCTTTATGATTTAAAAAATATTGAGCATATGTTTAGTATGGATTAAAATCTAAATTTTAATATAAGTTAAAATCAAAATTAAAAATTAATTTTAATGACATATTTCATGGGACTCATAACTTTTCACTACACAATTCATTAACTTTTATCAAAATTTAATAAAAATCTGATTTTAATCATCATCAAACATGTACTATATAAATAGAGGTTCGTCTAAAAAGATGTCCATTTTTCATAAACAATTTAAGCCCTTGTTTGAGCCACATTAAAATTTTAATTCTCATTCTTCTACTCTTTTTCAATCATACATTTTTCAATAAAATAATATTTGTCATCACATCAATAATTTTTCATTCTTTTGTAATCACGCATTCTCTATCAATTAATTATTCCAAAATACATTTTTTCAAAACAATATGACTCAAACACACCCTAAATAACTAATATTAATAATCTATTAATATTAACCCAAAATTTATAAATAACAATTTAGAAGATTAAAAAAATAATTAAAAAAAACCTCAAAAATTTATGCTAAGAGGTGAGGTTTTTGAAATTTTCGAAAATGGAGAGATGTCTGTTATCACTACATATTAAAAGAGTCAAAGTAAAGGTGTCACATGTCGTCATTTCCAATCATCGTCAAAAATCCCTTTTTTTTTTTAAATTCCCTAAAATTCCTCAAAATTTTCCATCTTGCTTCTCCATTATCTCACGCAACCATCACTCCTCCTCCATTTTCCCACGCGACCTCATCAAACATGGACTACATAAATAGAGGTTGGACTATATAAATAGAGGTTCGTCTAAAAAAATGTCCATTTTTCATAAACAATTTAAGCCCTTGTTTGAGCCACATTAAAATTTTAATTCTCATTCTTCTACTCTTTTTTAATTATACATTTTTCAATAAAATAATATTTTTCATCACATCAATATTAAAAGAGCCAAAGTAAAGGCAGGACACGTGTCGTCATTTCCAATCATTGTAAAAAATCTTTCTTTTTTTTTTAATTCTCTGAAATTCCTCAAAATTTTCCATCTTGCTTCTCCATTATCTCACGCAACCACCCACACCTCCTTCATTTTTCCACGCAACCTCCCATGAACTGCTATCTGAAGAAGGATTTGAGCACCAAAAATTTCTAAAAAACCAAAAAAAGGTGAAGTTCAGGGATAGGAGAGTCCGAGATGAATCCATTCCACTGTCTGGCAACCTCGTGCAGTTGGAATATGTCTCAGGTTTGGATTATATTTTCCTCATTTCGTTGTGTCATTATATAGTTATTCATTTATATTAATTCTTCTTCAAATCCTCTGGAGTTTTAACCTAGTTGAGCCTCTTCGTCTTCTTTGCATTTTCGTCGTCCTTTTTTGCCTTCTCTTTGCTATAGAACCAGTAATTTTTGTTGTTACATTCCTGACTGGTTTCTTCCTCTGGGTTTTGTTTTCTGATTTCATGAACCTATTCAACTGGCCAGAGAGAATTTTCTTGATTTGGGGATTGGAATTTAATGGGTTTTATGAGATGTGAATATATATAATAAATAATAATCATATAACTTCATATTTGATTAGTTTAGGGTTAGAGTTGGTGTGTTTTGTGGGTTGGAATTTAATTGGTTTTATGAGATGTGAATATATATAATAAAATTTATGTTTGACTATGTGGGTTGAGTCTTAAAATTGAGATCGATGCTTTAGATTAGAGACTTGAAACTTGAGTATGGGGATTGGATGATTTTGTTGGGTAAATTTGAGATTTGTCTGGTTTCGCTCTTATGGTAACTCTCTAACAACTTAAAATAATTCACTTTTTTATATGGATTGTGAAGATTTCGTTCTCTTATTTAATCAAATTTGAATAGTTCAAAAAAATGTTATTGGTAGCATTAGAAAAAAAAATTCCTCTGTGCGCACACAGAGGCACGGAGACACCTCGTGTGCGCACGGAGACCTTCATACGAGCACAGAGACACATGGAGGGACCTCCATGCGCATGGAGTTTATTATTATTATTATTTACCAATAACAATGTTTCATAAGGCAATCAACAATATTTTTTTTAAGTCATTTTTTTTTATATTGCTACCAATAACAATGTTCGTGCGTGCACGGACACGGAGGCCCGGGCTGCTTAACGGAGACACGGCCGTGTCTCCGTGCCACACGGAGACCCTTGACCCGGGATTTTTCTAGAGCCGGTAATTAATTCGATGTCAACTTCAAGTGTATCGGTACCATATACTGAGAGAACTGAATTATTTCGCAGTAATAGGTTCATTGTGTCGTTGAGATTTCATAATTACAATACGTTTGATTCTTGCAATTTTTCACACAATTTCTGTAGCTTATGAAGTTAGTGAATTAAAATATTTTTTGTTCAAATTTCAAGGAAGTAAGTGTGAATTGAGTAGGAGGGATGTTATTTTTAAAGGAATTATTGCTGCTGAAGCTTCAGTAATGGACTCTACTGTAGCTTCTGAACCGAAGGGCCAAGGTTTTTTTTGTTTTTTTATTTTTAATACTTGCCCCTTTTTAAAGAGTGTTTATGTATATGGGATAATATATGATAATATGTTGTTTCTGGATTATGATAATATGTTGTTGTTAATGTTTAGGTTTGGAAAAGTTACCCTTTAAACCGGAAGGATATAATTACTGGATGTGGCAAGGTCGAAAAATACATTATGTAGTGGAAGGAGAGGGGTTGCCTATTGTTCTAATTCATGGATTTGCATTTCATTGGAGGTAAGCATTTCACGTTTTGCAATATTAATATTTCAATCTTTCTGTCTTGGGCTATAAAAATTGATGAGCGCCCTCATACCACAATTAGAAATTTAGACAGTAAATTTATCCAATTCATGTCGCCAAAGTTACTTCTCCTTCATCCTACCGAAAATATATTAAAATTTTGATGGAAAGTGGGAAGGAGCATTGACATTGTGGTGGACCTAAAATCCAGCACAATTTGCAAAGTATAGTTTCCATACATTTTGAACCTCTTGATTCTCCATTTGGCAGCCCAAGATTGCACATTGTGAGCCTGCATTGTTTTTAGTACTCAGTAACTATATCATACTTATTTAACTGGGGTAAGTTTGATGTTCCCACTTGGACTCTTCATTAGGTACAACATATCAGAATTGGCTGAAAAGTACAAAGTCTATGCTCTAGATTTGCTCGGGTTTGGCTGGAGTGAAAAGGCACTTATTGAGTATGATGCCCTGGTATGGAGAGATGAGACGAGGTTGTGGGTTTCATGAAGGAGATAGTTAAAGAACCAGCAGTCTTAGTTGGAAACAGGTTAGTGCATGACATCTGATTACTTGTTGAAAAACTTGCAATTTTGATTTGTATTTCCAAATATTATGAATCTATTTCGCATTTAATCCCTTGAATCGTGCTCTAAGAAGCAAGGATATGTGTAAGTTTGGATACGCTTTGATAGCTCCCGATAAATATTATTTAGAAAGTATTCTCTTTGTTTTAGTTTGATAGCTTTAAAATGCCAAAAAAAATCTGACGCGTTCATGGGTCAGGATACAATTGCTATTCACTATTCACCGTTCGAGTAGCACTCCACTGTCCTTCAAAGCTGAAGCCAAGTTGCCTAGTCTTGCGCCAGTACCGCCCTGGCGAGCAAAATCCTCTCTGCAATAGAAAGAAATCTCCGGCAACCGCACCAGAACAGGTACGAACCCAACCGTTCTCTTTTGCGATAAATATTCACTGGAACTGTATCCATTTCGGACAGGAATTTCATTGATTGTTCGTTTGTAAGAACCAAACCACTTGGCTTGCATGTAGGCAAGACGGCGCCATGGCGGCACGTGAATTTTCACGCGTTTCATGGATTTCTTAATGGCACTGCACATCAACCTGACAATTTGGTTCAGTTCATCCATTTTGCCAACAAAAATGGGAAGAAAAAGTTGGAGTAAGGAGGCGTAGAAGTCTGTTGGACGGGCTATTTTGAATTCTTCTGCTAGAAAAACTTCAATTGCGTAGCGAGTCGCACCAACATTTACATCAATGTACTCGTAATCCCCAGGTATGCAGCCACCTTTTTTCTCCCACTTTGATTTGCAAAGACCTTTATCATCAAAATTCAAAGAACACACTAATCAAATTCTTATCTTCCACGAACATAGAGAGAGGGAGGGAGAGAGAGAGAGAGAGAGAGAGAGAGAGAGACTCACCGGCATTAAACCCTCTATCGCGCAACCGAGCCATTAACCGGCGTTTCAATTCCGACGAGCTGTAATCACCGAGTTCCTTGTAAGCCTTTTCTACCTCTGCGTGAATTCTTCTTTTTACACCATCATTTTCACAGCCCAATAATTTTTTCAACGAATCTTTCAGCTCAGAGTTGGGAGAATTTCTTTGCAATTCAATCTCATTATCATCTTTCTCTTTAACATCTTCTTCACTTTCTCTCTTTCCGGTAATTTCTCTCTCTATAAACAAATTCACAAGATCAGACAAATCCACCGACTCCGAGTGCTCGCTGCCGCTGCTCTCATCATGTGTCCTAATCTTAGCCCCCTCAGCGAAAACTGCCGCCACCCTATTGAATTTCACTGGTATTTTCACCATTTCTTTAACTTTCAGGAGAGAGTGATTGACTTAAATAAGACCTTCTTAGATGANATTTAGAGTTTATTGAGAGAGAATTTTAAAAATTATTTTTAATCATGCATGTTAAGAAATTCATAATTATTATTTTTTTTTTACTTTTTAATAATACGTTCTTCAAAAAAATTATTTTTCATTTGAAACAATTTCTTCCAAACAAGTTCTTAACCTATAAAATAATCTATTAGATAAATTTAACCTATAAAAGCAGTTGCCCACATAATTTGGCCCGCACCTGATTGAAATTTTCACGCGTGACACATCTTTGGCCCTCCGGCCCCTCCCTCAAATAATATTCGTTGAATGATTACCTTTTCAATTTCAATTTTTTAAAGTGGAAATTTCTTATTTGACATGAAGATATTTGAAAAATCCACCGAATTGCTACAGAACACTCACACATGGGTGGGGCACGCACATTTTTTTTTCTTTTTAAATACACGATGGGACCCCGTTTGTCTCTATTATGTTGCATTTCTGTAATTTTTTTCTATACAAATTGATTTCTCCACATCTTTTTGTTGTTTTCTGTTACATTCTTGGCACTCGTTCGACACTAGTCAATTACGCCTTGGCTGTGACATCCATGCTATGAAAGTATTCATGCACGAGTTAAGCACATATTCACACGTGCAATGCCAAGAATAGCATGAAATTGTCTTTTTTTTTTTTTTGGTCTTTCTATTTTAATACGTTGAGGACTAAAAAATGTGGAGACTCCGAGGCCATTTTCATTGAACCTCGAAACCATAATTGAATAGTGAGTTTTGCTACGTGTACAACTAGTTTGATAATTCGTGAGTTGACGATCAGTTTGGCCTCGTGGATCGTCAAATTACTTGTACAAAATCATTGTACAAGTAGTTTAATTATTGAATAGTTCACTTTGAAGATAGAGGATTCAATCCCTAGAAATGTATTTGTAACAAGTAACCTGGTATAGGGAGTAGGGATGGATTCATTTGATTGACATTTAAGGAATTTACAAGTATACAGCCTCTTTTTTATTTAACTAAAAATCAAATTTTTAATAAATTCAATAAAAAATAATTAAATGTGTCGTTCAAAAATTAAAAAAATTGTACACGTAAAATGTAAAATTAAAAATGAATTTAATAAAAAATGAGTTTTAAAAAATGAAATCCGAATAGGAACATAAAATATATACAACTACATAATGCTACTGCACTTAGGGTGGTACGTTTGAAATTTGGATCAATCTATGTGTACATAAATTGATCCACAGGGGATGACATAATGTGAGTGGGGTGGAGACCGCGCTTCTATTAGATCAAATTGCAAAATCATCGTATGTTGCATTTCAACACATTATGGTTTAACGATATTTTAAGTTGACTTGTATTAGATGCGACGTGGGCGTTCGTAACTTGTTCAACATGTTTAGTGACGTGAAATCTGGTGTAATCTTGATATAGCTAAAGTCGTGGTTTGCTGTGCATTTTTAAAGTGACAACTTTGCAAGTGGGCTAGAGTCACCGGATGAAGGCATGGTCGAGCCTCTACAGTAGAACCATTTCATCTGACTTGCTTTATACCATTGAGGCACTGCTTTTTCTTCAGATTTGTTACTACCGTTTACGTGAAACTTTTCTCCTTAAAGAAACCCTAAGTAGGGTTGTTCTTTTCGTATTCCAATCTTTAATTTTGAGTTTTGAATTCATTTTGAATTTTGTGTTTTGAATGTCCACTTTGAACTTGTTGAAAACGCATTCTTTTTGTCATTTTGAATAATTGTTTTCAAAAATAAAAAATGCGTTTAAATTTGAAAAACTGAAAAATTGATTATTCAATATATATATAGTTCTTTTACTTATAAACAAAGCAAAAGCAACTGCCATTGTAGTTGAGGCATTGAAATTCAATGTTGGTGACCCTGGTTAGAAACTCACTCACCTACCAAATTATTTGAAAAATTTTATACTGCGCATATAAAAAGAAAATTACTTTATATTGAATTGCGGTGAAAAGGAATCGAACTCGTGGCGTTCAGAAAATCTTTGACTCTCCGAGCTAAGCTATCCAGCTATTGGCAATCTAGCTGCTTTCCATGTTTTAAAGTTTTAGCTTGGTTTTAACTTAAAATAGTCCGACGACTTTTTTGGTATTTTTTGTTTTCTTTATAAATTTTAAACTCATTTTTGGAAATTCATTTCTAAAAATAGGTAACTAAACGTGTTTTCAGTATTTTCAAAAATTGAAAACTGAAAACTATCTGAAAACAGCAAAGAGAACATGCCCAAAGTCTCCTTCATCGATCTTTTTGAATTTTTTGTATCACTTTTTAATTAAAATGTCACATATTATTCATTTAGTCATTTAGGTTGTAATAGATTTTTAAACTAATTTTTTGTTGTGTTAGACAAGAATTAAATTTAGCTTCAAACTTGCTTATCGAGAAGTGACATGCCTTGTCACATTTTATTTTCAAATGTGGCATACTGCAATTATTTTACTCTAGCTCAATACATCACAAGATTGCTGGGTTCATGAACTTATGTAGTCATGGGCCTCATGGCTGATTTGGTAAAAACTTCATTTAATACGAGCACAATATATTTGGCTTTCGTGAATCGATCATCACTGACAGTTGTATTTTACATGATATGAGGCTAAGTCAACTGTTTCAACATTGAATTTGCGCTACATAAACATTTTAACAGGTCATATTATTTAATTAAAAGTAACGTGGTACGTCACTTTTTGCTTCAAAAATGACATAATGCGATTAGTTTTTTATTTTTCGAAGTGATTATAATGGAAATATGTTGTATTTTGCTTAGTTGTAGTTGAGGCTCGAACCCTGGATCCATGATGTGTGCTCCCAAAATTGGCAAAAATGTGTTTAACTAAAAGGCGTTTCTTTTAGTGTTTAACTTCTATTCTGATGATGACACGTGGTCTCTTGCTGGCCCTTGAATCTGTGGTTTGTTGGTGTGTGATATTATAAATACCAAACTCGAGATTTTTCTCTCATTCGGTCTCTGGCTTTTCTCCTTCCGCCGTTCTTTTAGGTTCTTATGAGAGTTTATCTTTTTACTGTAAAGTAGGGTTTGAGATTCCGTGTTCTTCATATCTTATGATGAACCTTGTAAATTGAGATCCTTAGTGGTTTAGCCTCTGTAATATGTTATCTGAGTGATAGTCGCGAGAATAAGAGGTTTCTTGCGGTCTAGGTTGTAGAAGGTTATCTTTTGTGATTCCTTCGTTCGATCTGCAGTTTGGTGTTAGAGATAAGTGCTTTTGTGCCTTTTTCTTGTATTTTGAAGAACGGTCTTTAACTTGTCTTGCCGTTTTGGGCTTAGTAGTGCAACTGAGCATTTATCCATTTAATGGATGCTCAACGGGGGATGTAAGCGTTAGATCCGGTCGCCGAAACTTCGGGGCTTAGGCCAAAACATATATTGTGTTCATTTTAACTTCTGCAACTTTTACTTTCTTTTGTGATCGATTCTTTTGTATCTTGTTTAAATATTGTGTGGTTTGGGCCTTTTCAGCTGTGTAATTCAAAAAATACTAAAAAAACAATTCAAAAATCATAAATTCAAATACTGTAAATTACAATTTTTGCAACTTTCTTTTCTTTCGTAGCTTCTGCTTCAAAGGTGTTGAAGTTTGGTACGATATTCGATTGTGTTGAGGGTCGAACCCCAGATCTGTGATGTGTGCTCTCAAAATTGGTTGAAGTC